ATGGAATCATGTAGTCCGCATGATTTCACACAATATAATGCCTTTTGAGATTTATGCGTGTTGTTGCATGTATTAATAGTTCATTCCTTGTAATTGAAGAATAATATTTCACTATATGTGTATACCACCAGTTTTTTATCCATTCACCTGATGGAGGACATTGGATTATTTCCAGTTTGGGGCCATATAGAATAAAGTTGCAGTAAACACTTGTGTATAGATTTTTGCAGGAACATAAATTCTTGTTTCTCTAGGGCCATGGTCGGCAAACTGCGGCTCGCGAGCCACATGCAGCTCTTTGGACCCTTGAGTGTGGCTCTTCCTAAGCCTTAGGAGTACCCTAATTAAGTTAATAACAATGTACCTACCTATATAGTTTAAGTTTAAAAAATTTGGCTCTCAACTGTTGATATTTGGCTCTGTTGACTAATGAGTTTGCCGACCACTGCTCTAGGGTAAATAACTAGGAGCAGAATTGCTGAGTCATATGGTAAATGTATATTGAAATTTGCCTGGCCAGTTAGCTTAGTTGGTTGAGTGACATCCCATGCACTAGGAGGTTGTCAGTTTGATTTCAGTCAGGGCACATCCGCTGGATTGCAATTTCAATTCCCAGTAGGGTGTGCAGGAGGCAGCCGATCTCTGTTTCTCCTTCTCCCTCTTCCTTTCTCTCTCTGAAATTAAAAAAAAAGAAAAAAGTAGCTAGTTTGGCTCAGTACATAGCATTGGACTGCGGACCAAAGGGTTCCAGGTTTGATTCCAATCAAGGGCATGTACCTCGCTCGGTTGCAGGTTCCAAAAGAACAACTTTTTTAAAAAGTATATTGAAATTTATAGAAAACTGCCAAATCATATTTGAGAGTTGATCTACCATTTTGCATCTCCAACAGCAACATCTAAGAGTTTCCAGTTGCTCCACATACTTACCTGCACTTATTACTGTACTTTTTATTTTAGTCATTCCAGTAAGTGTGTAGTGGTATCTTATTTCACTTTATGATATCTCAAGGTTTTAATTTGCATTTTTCTAATGGGTAATGATGGTGAATATGTTTCATAAGCTCATTTGCCAACTCTATGTCCTCTGGTGAAATGTCTGGTCAAGTGTTTTCGCCATTTTTTAATTGATTGGTTGTTTTCTTACTGTTGAGTTTTAAGAGTTTAAGATATATTCTGGATACAGTTTTGTTGTCAACTGTATCCAGAATATATGCAAATATTTTCTGCAGTTTGTATGTTTGTATCTCATTCTCTCAACAAAGTATGTTCACAGAGCAAAAGTTTTTAATTTTGATGAAGTCTAATATATCAGTTTTATCTTTTCTGCATCATGCTTTTGGTGTCATGTCTAAGGACTCTTTGCCTAACCTTAAGTCATTAAGAGTTTCTGTTTTCTTCTAAAAGTTTTGTAGTTTATGTTTTACACTAATATCTGTGATCCATTTGAAGATAGTTTTTATGTAAAATGTGAAATTTAGGTTGAGGTTCATTTATTTTTATTTTTATTTATTTAGCCTATGGATGTCCAATCCCAACACCGTTTATTGAAATGACTATCATTTTTCCATTGAATTATTTTTGCACCTATCCAAAAATCAGTTGGCCATACTGGAATGAGTCTCTTTATTCTGTTCCACTGAGCTGTGTGTCCATTCCTTTGCCAATACCACACTGTCTTGATTCTTGTAGCTTTATAGTAAGTCTTAAAATCAGGTGGTGTAATTCCTCAGGCTTTAGTCTTAATTTTCAAAATTGTCTTAGCTATTCTAGTTCCATTGCCTTTTTATATAAATGTAGAGCGAGCTTGTCTATATCTACAAAAAAAAAAGTCATACTGGGATTTTTATTAGAATGGCATTAAGTCTATAGATCAATTCAGGAAGAAATGGCATCTTTACAATGTTGAGTCTTCTACTCCATGAAAATGGTATATCTATTTAGGTTTTCTTTTATTTCCTTAATTGGTGTTTTGTGGTTTTTAGCATACAGATACTATATATGTTTTGCTAGATTTATGCCTAATATTTTTTGGGAGGGAGTAACTATTGTAATTTTTTTAATTTTCAGTTTCCAATTTCTCTTTATTAGTGTATAGAAATACAGTTGCTTTTTGCACATTGACCTTGTATCCTATAATCTAATAAAGTCACTTTAGTGATAAGGTTTTTGTGTACATTCCTTAAGTTTTGTTTTTACATGTTCGCTTTGTTTTTTATCATGGACACTCATATTATCTGCTAATAGGAATAGTTTAATTCCTTTCTTTCAATATTATACATATTTCTTTTTCTTGCCCTATTGCCCTGTTTAGGATTTCCGATATGATCTTAAATGGCATGGTGAAAGTGACACCCTCGCTTTGATGGCAGTCTCAGGAGAAAGCATTCAGTCTTTCACTATTAAGTATGATGTTCGTTGTCGGGTTTTTTGACATCTCCCTTCCCACCAGGATGTATGCTCCAAGAGCAGGCTCTCTCCATTCTCAACTCAACCCCCAGTGCTTGGCACAATGCCTAACACACAGTAGGCCCTCAATGAGTAATTCTCTACTTTGGTAACTTAGCCTTAACCACTATTCTGTGTGACAGACAACAGAGAAATGTGCATGTTCACATGTACAGATGTCACGAAAAATGACCTCACAATAAATATTCCAGCGGATCCAACTAGCCATCGGCCCCACGGAGTTGACAATTTTAAGCGGTGGAGCATCTATAGGTCAGCTTTCTAGCAAGCCATCCCGTGTCAAAACGTTTATCTATGAGGAATGGATGAGTGCAGTAAAATAATTATTTTAGATGGAGAGCATTCCATTCCCAAAGGGAATTTAAACAAAAAGCTCTCAGCTCTGAAATACAGGGGCTTTCAGGGGAAAGAGTCCCACTGCTCTGAAATCGTAGGTCCTCAGACGGGTGGGGTTGTTTCGCTAAATTTATTTCAGCCGCTTATAGAAACAGAAGGGGGAAGAAGGGGGTGGCGGCTTGCACACCAGCCCTGGCTCTGGGGTATTAATATCTGCCAGGTCAGGCTTTTATTTGGGTTTTGTTTTACCTTTTAGGGGTGGGGAGGCAAGCAACAGGAATATCTCACAGCTGCATGGCTTGAGCTGTGGGTTCTCACCTTGCCCCCCAAGGCCACATCCAGCCCTCTCCTCCCCTGTCCCACCTTCCCACGGCTCTCTGGCCACTGAATACCAAGCTCTGGGCCAGGGCTGTCTCTGCAGCCTCAGGCAGGCACCTTGGACACCAGATTTCCTCCTAGTCCCAGAAGGGGTCTGAGCATGAAGAGGGGAGAGAAATTGAGATTTCGATTGAATCTGTTTTCTTTCTGGCACAAGTGTGGGTCAGGGAGACGGGAGCCTTTGTCCCCAGCCCCCACCAGAACCCCCTCCCCACCGCACAGCTCCACCCCAATGGCTCCACTACTTGAATGTTGGGTTGTTGAATATGAAATCCAGGCCTTTTTATCCCTGTGTTCCTTTTCCTCAGCTTCCCCAAAGCACTGGACACACCTTCTTCTTCGTGCCTGATACCTGAACAGTCTCTCTGTCACGCCCACCCCTGCCCCATCTGAGCAAACGGAGGGACATGAAACCACCATGTCATTGTTTTTTGTTTTGTTTTGTTTTTTAAATGTATTTTTTTAATTGATTTCAGAGAGGAAGGGAGCGGGAGAGAGAGAAACATCAATGAAGAGAGAGAATCATTGATCAGCTGCCTCCTGCATCCCCCCCCCACCCCCCTCACTGGGGATTGAGCCCCAAACCCGGGCACGTGCCCTTGACTGGAAAGGAACCAAGGAACCTTGATTTCAGTCAGGGCACATCCGCTGGATTGCAATTTCAATTCCCAGTAGGGTGTGCAGGAGGCAGCCGATCTCTGTTTCTCCTTCTCCCTCTTCCTTTCTCTCTCTGAAATTAAAAAAAAAGAAAAAAGTAGCTAGTTTGGCTCAGTACATAGCATTGGACTGCGGACCAAAGGGTTCCAGGTTTGATTCCAATCAAGGGCATGTACCTCGCTCGGTTGCAGGTTCCAAAAGAACAACTTTTTTAAAAAGTATATTGAAATTTATAGAAAACTGCCAAATCATATTTGAGAGTTGATCTACCATTTTGCATCTCCAACAGCAACATCTAAGAGTTTCCAGTTGCTCCACATACTTACCTGCACTTATTACTGTACTTTTTATTTTAGTCATTCCAGTAAGTGTGTAGTGGTATCTTATTTCACTTTATGATATCTCAAGGTTTTAATTTGCATTTTTCTAATGGGTAATGATGGTGAATATGTTTCATAAGCTCATTTGCCAACTCTATGTCCTCTGGTGAAATGTCTGGTCAAGTGTTTTCGCCATTTTTTAATTGATTGGTTGTTTTCTTACTGTTGAGTTTTAAGAGTTTTTTATATATTCTGGATACAGTTTTGTTGTCAACTGTATCCAGAATATATGCAAATATTTTCTGCAGTTTGTATCTTATCTTTTCATTCTCTCAACAAAGTATGTTCACAGAGCAAAAGTTTTTAATTTTGATGAAGTCTAATATATCAGTTTTATCTTTTCTGCATCATGCTTTTGGTGTCATGTCTAAGGACTCTTTGCCTAACCTTAAGTCATTAAGAGTTTCTGTTTTCTTCTAAAAGTTTTGTAGTTTATGTTTTACACTAATATCTGTGATCCATTTGAAGATAGTTTTTATGTAAAATGTGAAATTTAGGTTGAGGTTCATTTATTTTTATTTTTATTTATTTAGCCTATGGATGTCCAATCCCAACACCGTTTATTGAAATGACTATCATTTTTCCATTGAATTATTTTTGCACCTATCCAAAAATCAGTTGGCCATACTGGAATGAGTCTCTTTATTCTGTTCCACTGAGCTGTGTGTCCATTCCTTTGCCAATACCACACTGTCTTGATTCTTGTAGCTTTATAGTAAGTCTTAAAATCAGGTGGTGTAATTCCTCAGGCTTTAGTCTTAATTTTCAAAATTGTCTTAGCTATTCTAGTTCCATTGCCTTTTTATATAAATGTAGAGCGAGCTTGTCTATATCTACAAAAAAAAAAGTCATACTGGGATTTTTATTAGAATGGCATTAAGTCTATAGATCAATTCAGGAAGAAATGGCATCTTTACAATGTTGAGTCTTCTACTCCATGAAAATGGTATATCTATTTAGGTTTTCTTTTATTTCCTTAATTGGTGTTTTGTGGTTTTTAGCATACAGATACTATATATGTTTTGCTAGATTTATGCCTAATATTTTTTGGGAGGGAGTAACTATTGTAATTTTTTTAATTTTCAGTTTCCAATTTCTCTTTATTAGTGTATAGAAATACAGTTGCTTTTTGCACATTGACCTTGTATCCTATAATCTAATAAAGTCACTTTAGTGATAAGGTTTTTGTGTACATTCCTTAAGTTTTGTTTTTACATGTTCGCTTTGTTTTTTATCATGGACACTCATATTATCTGCTAATAGGAATAGTTTAATTCCTTTCTTTCAATATTATACATATTTCTTTTTCTTGCCCTATTGCCCTGTTTAGGATTTCCGATATGATCTTAAATGGCATGGTGAAAGTGACACCCTCGCTTTGATGGCAGTCTCAGGAGAAAGCATTCAGTCTTTCACTATTAAGTATGATGTTCGTTGTCGGGTTTTTTGACATCTCCCTTCCCACCAGGATGTATGCTCCAAGAGCAGGCTCTCTCCATTCTCAACTCAACCCCCAGTGCTTGGCACAATGCCTAACACACAGTAGGCCCTCAATGAGTAATTCTCTACTTTGGTAACTTAGCCTTAACCACTATTCTGTGTGACAGACAACAGAGAAATGTGCATGTTCACATGTACAGATGTCACGAAAAATGACCTCACAATAAATATTCCAGCGGATCCAACTAGCCATCGGCCCCACGGAGTTGACAATTTTAAGCGGTGGAGCATCTATAGGTCAGCTTTCTAGCAAGCCATCCCGTGTCAAAACGTTTATCTATGAGGAATGGATGAGTGCAGTAAAATAATTATTTTAGATGGAGAGCATTCCATTCCCAAAGGGAATTTAAACAAAAAGCTCTCAGCTCTGAAATACAGGGGCTTTCAGGGGAAAGAGTCCCACTGCTCTGAAATCGTAGGTCCTCAGACGGGTGGGGTTGTTTCGCTAAATTTATTTCAGCCGCTTATAGAAACAGAAGGGGGAAGAAGGGGGTGGCGGCTTGCACACCAGCCCTGGCTCTGGGGTATTAATATCTGCCAGGTCAGGCTTTTATTTGGGTTTTGTTTTACCTTTTAGGGGTGGGGAGGCAAGCAACAGGAATATCTCACAGCTGCATGGCTTGAGCTGTGGGTTCTCACCTTGCCCCCCAAGGCCACATCCAGCCCTCTCCTCCCCTGTCCCACCTTCCCACGGCTCTCTGGCCACTGAATACCAAGCTCTGGGCCAGGGCTGTCTCTGCAGCCTCAGGCAGGCACCTTGGACACCAGATTTCCTCCTAGTCCCAGAAGGGGTCTGAGCATGAAGAGGGGAGAGAAATTGAGATTTCGATTGAATCTGTTTTCTTTCTGGCACAAGTGTGGGTCAGGGAGACGGGAGCCTTTGTCCCCAGCCCCCACCAGAACCCCCTCCCCACCGCACAGCTCCACCCCAATGGCTCCACTACTTGAATGTTGGGTTGTTGAATATGAAATCCAGGCCTTTTTATCCCTGTGTTCCTTTTCCTCAGCTTCCCCAAAGCACTGGACACACCTTCTTCTTCGTGCCTGATACCTGAACAGTCTCTCTGTCACGCCCACCCCTGCCCCATCTGAGCAAACGGAGGGACATGAAACCACCATGTCATTGTTTTTTGTTTTGTTTTGTTTTTTAAATGTATTTTTTTAATTGATTTCAGAGAGGAAGGGAGCGGGAGAGAGAGAAACATCAATGAAGAGAGAGAATCATTGATCAGCTGCCTCCTGCATCCCCCCCCCACCCCCCTCACTGGGGATTGAGCCCCAAACCCGGGCACGTGCCCTTGACTGGAACGGAACCCAGGACCCTTCCATCCATAGGCCCGACGCTCTATCCACTGGGCTGAACCGGCTAGGGCCCACCATGTTGTTTTTTAAAAACCTGTTCTTGTGCTGAATTTGGAGTGCTTTGTGGAGCACAGATTAATTACCTCCCACAGATGTGGGGGAAACTGAGGCACGGGAGGGGAGGTGGCAGCAGGTGGCCAGCGCCCACTGCAGGCAGGTGAGGTCAGGGTCCCCTGGCTGGCTCTAGGAGGTGCCTGCTGAGCCTGAAAGGACCAGAGAAAGACTGGACTCTGGCCCAGGAGCTTGCTGCTCTGTGGCCGCCATCTGAGGGCAGGCCGAGGAGGCGCACCAGGAAGCTCAGGACTCAGCTGGGCTTAAGCCTTGAATAATCGCCTGAGAATATGGGGAAGTACCTCCCACAGCGCCCCGCCCAGGGGAACCTAACAAATGCTGGTTTGGTTCCTTGGCAAACTCCTGCTTCCTGGGTCACCAAAGAAGACAGGGGAAGCAGCATCTGTCCTCTCCCCTCCCCCACCCCCAGGTACACTGCACGGAGGCTGGTGGGAGGGAAGATGCCTGGATCAGGAGCTGGGAGAGGCCCAGGAAGAATGTCCAGGGGGTTCTTGTCCAAACTGGGGAGTCTGCTTCAGTGTAAACAAGGGTATAGTACGTGCCTGTAAACTGTAAAGTCCTCACAAGGAAACCACGTTCCTGTGTTGTCCGTCCTCCCACCAGCCAGTTTGCTTTGGAATGGTCCTCCAGCCCAGAGTGGGGCAGACCCCGCCCTGGGGAGCTGTTGTCTGAGAAGCGGGACCCACCTCCTCAGCCAGCGCAGGGATCAGATGGCTCTTGGAGGGTGGCCACGTCGGCAGCCGGTGGAAGAGCGAGGAGGGATCTTTGCCACAGCCCTGTGACTTCTTTAGATCTGAGTTTCTCCCGCCAACTGCACCCTCCACCCCAGGGGCCTGCAGGCCCCAAACCAGGGCCTGCCCTCGTCTGACCAAAGGCAACCAGATCTGCTGCAGCTGTTCAGGGAGAGAACAAGCTCTCCCAGAGACAGGGAAGCAGCTGGAGAGAGATGCCTGCCAGCCCGGGGGTGTAAATATTTATACAACGTGGTGCGTGGGAAGAGGGAAGGCAGAGGGAGGTGGCAGGAACCAGGCGGCGCTGAGACCGCAGGTTGAAGGGGCCTGTGCTTTGGCTTCAGGTGGAAAAGGCAAGAGGTGGCTGGGATCCTCATCTCCACCTGAATTCCTACATCAGAGTGGCCAGTCCTTACTCCCAGCGGCTCCTGGCAGAGTTGAGGGAAGAACTTAGAAAAAAAGGCATCACCAGTTCCCTTACCGGTCTTCCTGTCTAAGATAACCCTGGAACCAGACACACCAAACCCACAAGGCCCAGGAGTAGGGGCTTGGGGACTCCTGGGTCTGTGGTTCTAGAGTCTTAAAGAATTGGCCTGGCCGGAGGGGCTCAGTGGTTGAGCATTGACCTATGGGCCAGGGAGTCATAGTTCAATTTCCGGTCAGGGCACATGCCTGGGTTGCGAGCTCAGTCCCCATTGTAGAGCATGCAGGAGGCAGCCAATGATTCTCTCTTGTCACTGATGCCTGCCTCTCTCTCTCTCTCTCTCTCTCTCTCTCTCTCTCGCTCTCGTTCTCGCTCTCTCTCTCCCTCCCTCCCTCTCACTCTCTGAAATCAATAAAAAACATATCAAGAAAATAAAAAATAAATGTTTGAAAAAATACTGGATTCTAAGAGTTGGACTCCAGGGTTGAAGTCTTAGAACATAAGTAAATTGTAAACAGAATATTAAATATAAGCAAAGATTTCTCTCAAGCTTCTATGTCATCAATAGTACTTTTCTAAAGTGGCGGAGAACGTGGTGCATTAATGAAGATGATGATGAGGAAGGAGGGGACCTGGCCAAAGAGCAAGGTGTGGAGAAGGCGAGGGGGCCCTTGAGGGCACTTCCAGAGAAGCCTGTGGCCGCAGGCATCCAGGGCCAAGGAAAAGAGTACAGCCCACGGGCGTCCACCTGGTGCTCTCGGGCCCCTCTGCCCCAGGACGCAGCTGGCTCCAGGTGTGCCCCAGGCAGAGCATGACATCCGCTGCTCTCCTCTCCCTGCTCTCGGCTGGGCCTGCTAAGGACTCAGCCAGCGCCCAGTGGCATTGACGCCCCAGGGTGGGAAGCAAGCCTGCGCCTGGGGGCACAGCCAGATGGACTCCAGTCGATTTGCCTCAGACAGCTGGGGAGCAGAGCCAGGACACTCCTCATCCCCTCCCCACCCCTCCAGACAAGGAGGGGAGCGGCGGCCACTTCTAGGATTTCTCTGCCGCCACACCCATTGAGAAGTGCCACCTGCTTCCATCAGTACCAGGGCTGACCCTCAGGACCTCCCACAGGTGGGGTTTGTGGTGCTCCCCAGTGGCCAAGAACCTTGAAGGTACCTCACAGTTATCAGCGTCGTCCTGCATTCTTTCTGTGTCCGGACAACGCCCACTGGCCCGGGGGTGGGCGCTGCTGGGAGGAAGGATCTTGTGCTGGAAACCTGCCTCTGCCTCCCTACCAGATCCTCCAGATGCCCAGGCCAACTCAGCCAGACAGGGAGGATCAGGGGGTACCCAGACTCCCCCAAGAAGCTGACCCCAGGCAGCAAATCATCCCACCCCCAGCCCAGAGCTTTACCAGCGACACCTGCCCAGGGGGTGCACCGCCCCTGAGCCCCAGCCCTTCTGGGGGGAACCTGGTGAGTCCCCCACCTGGACACCCAGAGAAGGGCAGGTTCCATGAGCAATGGGGCCCAGGCCCACACAACGTGGAGGAAACACCATCTGCCCCAGCCCTGGGCCGGGCCTGGCAGCCATAGCCACCCTCACGGGGGGGCCCCCTCTCCAGAAGGGAGCTCCTCTTCCAAGGACACCCAGGTCCTCGCTGCCACCGCGGCCCCGCCTGCCGGCTGTGGCCGCCTTCTTGCCAGCACTGCTTCAACAGATGAACAAGAATAAAAGCCTGTGTGGCCCAAGGAAGTCTTTAGGGGAAAGAATTGAAGCTGAAGGAAAGCGGGGGAGGTTATAAGAAATAGGAGAGGAAAGAGATTCAGGAAACAGACAGAATAAACCATCCGGGAATCCAGATGTAAAACAAGGAAGGCCAAGAGAAGGGAAAAGTTACGCTAAGAAGGCAGAGTAGGGTGGGGAGGGGAATTGAGAACGAAAAAGAAGAAGAGGGCAGTTATAAATATTCTGCAAAGAGAGAAGTATGTGAAAGCAAACAACACCAGAAAAAAGAGAGACCCAGGAGAGAAAAAGAGGCAGCGATGAACTTAACAACAACTGTGTTGACCCTCAACCAACCACACTCATTAGTTCTGAGTCTGACCGCTCTTTGTGGATTTCAGGCTCCTCTGAACACAGAGCAAGGACAGCCCTAGAAAAGCAAGCTTTCCTTCTTGCCCTTGGTTTTCCTACAATTCTCCCAACTTACCCCAGCTGTTGGTATTTTGCAGAGTGAGGACTGATCTTCCTGGACAAGGCCAAGACCATATCAGTTCACCCCAGCCTGGTGGCTCCCATCATGGTGCCCCCCATCATGGTGCCCCCGGCAGGCTCACTGGAGAGCCTGAGCAGGAGGAGCCCGTGCAGGCAGGAGAAGCCATAGGTGTGACAGAGCCTTGTTACTGGCTCTGCATCTTCCAGGGAGCGGCTTACCCAGCCACCTCTCCTGCACCAGGGCTAACCCCACCCATGGATACGCCATCCCGGAACAGCAGGGCATCCTGGAAGACTGGCATGCCCAACTCTACACAAAGCCAGAGGTGTCCCAGCAAGTGCTACTTTTGAAAACAATTTAGATGACTTAAATTAATTTCCAGGCATTGCCAAGGAGACCTACAGATAGCCACGGCTTTCCCATTGCCATAATTGGCCAACAGGTACGTGAAGTTCACGTTGTGTCCATCAACTCCGTGAGCGCTTAGGTCCTGGTTCCTTTCCCTGTGTCTGCTTGGCCTCTTCCAGCCTCTCCTGCCTCTCCTCCTGTGGGTTGGCCACTGCCACTCTTCTCTGTGTTTGCTTGGGCTATGCCAAGCCCCTTACTTAGTCAGATCCCCCTCTGCCCACTCTTCTGTTTCTTCAGGGCAGCAGGAGTTGGGAGAAAGCTGAAGCAAACCAAGGCAAAATCGAGAAGCAAAGGCAGTGAAAATGCAAGTGAGTCTGGGTTAGTGTCCAGTCGTGGTGTGCTCAGGCCTTCCCCCGTGGGCGGGGCGGGCTCCTCATGGCCGGGGGTCCGAGCCTCCCTCGCCACCTGAAACTGCTCCTCCAGAGTTCAGCCAAGGGGACGCCACTCGGGCTGAACTCTGATCGACTGGGACAAAGAAAACGGCGCCTGTGCCAGCCTTTCTCCCTCTAAGAATTCTGAAGTCACTTGACCCTGATTCTGTAAGTCACATTTTCCTTCTATCAAAAATTGTGGCGAAATAGGCAGAAGGGATCCTGTCTAGGTTGTGGCCTCAGGTACTCAATCCAGTTTCTTCCTATCCCTCCTAACCTTCAAACCTGTCTCGGTCATATACTGTATGACTCAAACTATTATTTAACCATGAAAAAAAAAAAAAAAAGACAAACCAGGAAATTAGAGGCTGAATGACCTAAAATTTATTCCATTCAACTGAGCTAATCTCCTAATAAGGGTGTGTATAATAATAAGTCATACTATGTCTGTTCTGGAAGATGTGAAGAACATTGCAGGGAAAAGTGCATGGTGACTGCAGATCCCAACTTGTCAAGATTTGTCCTCAAAAGGCTAAAGTGTCTGGGCCTCGGCCAAGTTGCCTAGCAGTTTGCTAGACGAGTCTCAACATTTGGGAACCGATATGTTGCAACAGAGAGCGCCCAATGTTCAGGCTGACCACAGCCAATCCTGGCACCGCCACTTCCTCGGCAAGCAGGGGACCGACTTACCTGCCTGCTTAAGTCTTCCTCGCTGCGAAATGGCAGTGACAGTAATACCCACCTCCTGGGGCTGCTGGAAGGACAGATGAGCAAAGCACTTGGCATGTGCACGCGCCCCCCCCCCCTTCCCAAACGTAGCCCTAGTCAACTGTTGCTGTATGTTAAACAGGGACTTGGCAAGACCAAGAAGAAGGTTGGAGGCCCCACCAAATGGGGTTCCACGGAGTCCCTGGAACACAGTCAAGTATCCCGAGCAAGAGAGAGAAGAGGGTCCCAGAGGAGGCCCAGGCAGCTGGCGGGTGGAGTGCGCGCAGAAAGCCAAGGACAGCCACTCGCAGCCGGGCTCCGCGTGGGCGGGAGGACGCAGGGGGCTGCGGGCAGCCCTCCCTCCGCATTAGCTCAGCGGGCTGCAGCCCCACCCTTGCGTGTGCTCATCCTGCGGAGAAGCTCCGTGAACTGACCGGGCCGCTGTACGCACGGCTCTGACCCAGCGAGAGCTATAACGGGGCGAGGCTATGACGGGCTTGCTGGCCTCAGAGACTCAACAAACGGGCGTTTCTGCCCAAATCCACAGATCTGTCCTGTTAGGAGCTAGGTTGTAGGGACGTGGCCAACTGCTGAGAAATTCTCATTTCAGAACTGGGCTTTTTCTGAAAAAGTAGAAAGGGGTAAGGTTTAAAATGTTCCGGAAATGTGAACACCAACTGAATCTTGGTAATATTTAGGGGACATTATTAAACTTTAGGTGCGATAAGGATACTGTGGTTAAGTTTCATGTGGTTTTTTTGAAGATACATACGGAAATGCTGATCATGATACGATCTGACATATAGGATTTACTTCACAATTACCTGGGCGGCAGGGAAGGAGATGGTGATAGAAATGGACAAGCGTGGGCAGGATTTGGTGATGTCGGTGATGGGCATATGGGGCTTCACCATACGACGCTGTCTCCTTCTGTATATGTTTGGAATTTTCTGTACTAAAATGTTTTAAGTTCATAAAAGCTGTAAGAATTTTTTAACTCAAAGATTCTGGTCTTACTGGGTTTTTGTTGTTGTCATTTTGTTTGTTTTTTAATCTTCACCTGAGGATACGTTCTCACTGATTTTTAGAGAGAGAGGAAGGGGGAGAGAGGAGCATCGATGTGAGAGAGAAACATTGACTGGTTGCCTCCTGTACACACCTTGACCCACCCTGACTGGGAGTCACACTCACAGGACAACAACCCAGCCAACCAGGGCTCAGTGGTTCTTGCAACGTGGTATTGACCTTCTGAGGACATGCGCTCTGGGACAGCAGGTGAGTCTGTGTGGGGAGATCTTCCGGGCGCCGGGGAGGGCTGGACAACAGGCAGGAAGACACCCCGCCCCGCAGGGTCACGCTGAGGACCAAGAGTGGTGCCTGCCCCTCAGGGCCTCTCAGACTGGGAAAAACATTCCAGGGCCTGGTGTCCACCTTGCACTGCTTTTAATCTCAACGAAAATGATTTTTTAAATTGGTTTCAATGTTCCTCAACTGGAAAATGGGGGGGAATCACCCGGACCCCATTATCTAGGGTGATGGTAAGTGAGATAAATGTGGGTAAAGTGCCCTGATGCTGGTCAGCACTGATTTGAGGGGTTTTGGCACACGTCGACCTTTCGCCTCTGAGGAGCACAGTGGAGCCGCCCCATCTTGGGCGCTCTGTCTGAATCAAACATCTAACTTAAACAAGAGTCAAGGCACACACACGCTGAGGTCTCTTCGATCAGGCGTCTTACTGGATGTCGGCCCTTTCAGGTGTCAGAGAAGTCACTGCTGTCTTCCTCCCTCCCTGCTCAGGAGGAACAGGCCACGTGGGACAGAGCCACGCTGCTCTCTCTCTGGGTGAAGAATGAGTTGGAAAATGAGAAATAGGGCACAGCTCCCTCTGGGCCATGGCTTTGAATGGCGAAAGGCATTTCGAGAAAGCAGGCCTTTGGCAGATCAGCTCATCCCCAGAGATGGAGCCAGGGGGTGCAGGGTACGCAGACCAAGAGCAGGCCCGGCTCAGGAGCACACTTCACAGGGACCTTCGGGGGGCCTGCCCCCCTGAGCCTTGGGCAAGCGGTCCTGAAGGCTTCCAGACAGCAGGGGGCAGCACCATACACCCTCCCCAGCCACAGGGACCCACCAGATGGCCAGGCAAGGTGACCTGGCCACAGACACTTTTCCCAGAACAAATCTAAGTCGCCATGGCGCGCAGAGGGAGGAATCCCAGGACGGGCAGGTGACCCACACGGCCTGCCCCTAAGTCTTTGCCACTTGCCTCAGGCAACTGGTTAGTGGCTTCCTGTGAGACAAGTTTCAGCCAGAAGAGGGTGTTTGTGACTTCAGGTGAGAAACCCACAGGCTACGGAGGAGGGGACATAAGCAGAAGGTAGTCCAGTGGCTGAGAGCTCAGGGGCTAAGGCAGGGGTGGGCAAACTTTTTGACTCGAGGGCCACAATCGGTTCTTAAACTGGACCGGAGGGCCGGAACAAAAGCATGGATGGAGTGTTTGTGTGAACTAATATAAATTCAAAGTAAACATCATTACATAAAAGGGTACGGTCTTTTTTTTTTTTTTTTTATTTTTTTTCTTTTCAAACGGGCTGTAGTTTGCCCACGGCTGAGCTAAGGGCATAGGCTTCGGAACCACAATGCCTGGGTTCAAGTCCCAGCTCTGCTATTGACCAGCCTTGTAACAATGGGCAAGGTACTGCCCCCTCTGTGCCTCAGTTTCCTCCTCTGCACGGTGAGGAGGACAGTGGCTCTGTCAGGCAGAGCTGTTGCTTACAACAGGGACTGGCAGGTAGAAAGCCCTCAATCAGTATTAGCAAGGCTTCCTCCTCAGCTCCATGGGGATGTGCTACCAATGACCCCCAGGCCCGGGAGAAAGAACTGCACTAAAGGAAGTGTAACGTTTTCATAGGCAGCGGCTCAGAGACACGCATAGAACACAGACCAAAAGGCCCCCAAATGTGTGCTGCCTTCCATGGAAACACAGCAGGTCCTGTACACCACCGGGCTACAGAGGGAGCACAGAGCAGAGGCCCCACATCTGGAGCAGGAATGGGTTTCCCTAGGGCTTTCCTGGAGGGGTGCAGAGGGGAAGCCATCCTGGGTGCAGCCCTCCAGTGCCCACTTGGGTTTTGTGCAGGACAAGCAGGAGACTAAGCTGGGTTTCCTACATGCATGGCATGGGTCAGAGGCTGAGAGGCAGGCTGGCGGCCCTGGGCCCTGTGCGGGCCAGGCCCACGTGGGCAGGCCCCAGAGGATGTGAGGAGCCCGCCTGCCTCACAGCAGGGTTGGGCTTCACCGAGGCGGTGCGGAGAAGGGGAGGAAAGAGTTAAGCCCACTCTGGGCTCTGGAGGAGGGCTCGGCTGCTATAAACAGTGAGCCAAGGGAGGGAGGGAGCTGACACAGGATGTGGCCAGGGCTCGAGCTGTCTGATTATTAACTTCACTTTTATTTGGAGGGGGATTCGATTCTCTGTTTTACTTCCCATCGAGGAAGTGAAAGCCCAGGTCTCAGAGGGGCCTGGTTTCAAATTGTTTTGTCACAGCTCATTTATTTTTCCTCTTAAATAAATAAACAAAACCACCTCTTTGTTTTCCCCTTAATGAGCGTTCAGCAAATCATCGGTGGGTGAGGCATGAAAGGGGTTTTCTGGAGCCCTTCACCAGGCACTTTTGGCTTATTCTAAAGGGGGGGTGGGGTGGGGGGGGAAGGATTCTTCCTGTGGCCACAGCCTTCTCCCAGACTCTCAAAGCACTTGCTTTTCTGCCTCCTCCTCCCCGCAAGATCTCAGCCTAAAATCATGACCTCAATCCCAGTGTAGACTCTCCTTGGCTGGTGGGGGGAGGTGGGGGTCTGACATGCTGACACTGTCTCATTTACAGGCTCCGACTCAAGGCCACAGAGAGGAAGTAGCCAACACAAGCTCAGTGGTTAGTCCTCTTGGTCGAGCTGGGACCCGTGGTGTGTGTTCCGACGGCACCCTGACATTTACACTAAAAATATCTTAAAGCAATTAAACACAAGGGGATTCCATTACAGGGCGTAAGAAAACACCATTACATGTTCCTTTGCCCAAGGTTCAAAAACGGTTGGGAACTTTGCCTCCAACGCCAAACCCATTCAATCATTTCACGATTCTCTTGCAACCACCCTTTTCCCAATGAGCCACAGGGGTGAGGCGCCATGGGGAACACGAAGACCCATCTCACGGGGCCCTCAGAGCAGCAGGGAAAACCGAGTCCCACAGCGAGGCTGACGGTAATGGAGGTGGGCAGGGGAGGAGAGGGGCAGATTCTGCTGGAAACCAAGGGAGGAAGGCTTCCTGGGGGAGGTGACATTTAGGCTGGACCCTGCAGGATTGACAATACCAAGAAGAGAGAATATTCTAGAAGCTGAACAGTACCCAAATGACACAGAGACATTATCAATGTGTGAACGGGCCAGATATCAGACAACAGGATGATGTGGCCTGTAGGGCCTGCAGCTCCTCAAATAGCATTCAGAATGGAATTTATAGTCCTCAGGGTGGGAGGGACTGAGGTTGAGTCAGCCACTTACACTGCGCTCCAGGCTGCCAGTCCTTGACCCCTGGCTGGAGACAGGCACGACCTGGGAAGGAGTTGTGCTTTAATGCTGTGAGCAACCAGACACTACACTTGGATAAGGGCTCCAGCGGCCTGACACGCAGCTGCCCACAAACACCTGATGATGAGTAGGAGCGATTTTTACTGCCTCTGGCTCCGTGCTCTTTGGATATGGGGCAAGAGGGAAGGAGGTGACTGGATCAAATCCAATTTACTTGCAAAAGCTCGGGCTCCTAATGGCTAATGGAATGGGATTTCCAAACACCCGCGAGGAAGTTGCCAGGGTCCAAGGTTTTCTTGCAGTTCTTAGAAATGCCTCCCCCATTCCCATTGTGTTTCAACCTCCAAACCTAAGCCTGCCCTCGCCAGCCAGGAGAGGGTTAAGCTGCCACCACCCCCCTCCCCCAGATGAATGGCTTGTTTTGCACTGCAGTGGGGGTCACGAGGGAGGTTGCCCTTTGCCTCTGGGGAGGCAGTCAAGGTCCTGCTGCCCTCTCTGGCACTCGGCCCCAGGCAGCCTGACGGTATCTCCTCCCCTGGACAACGTCCTGCAGACCTGGGCCTCAGAACCTTCCAGGCCCAAGGCGGGCCAAACCCCAGCACCAGGCCAGGCTCTGGAGGGGCGAGGCAGGGAGGCCCCCTCAGAGATATAGGGGCTAAGGGTACATGCCAGCTGAGTCCCTTAGCTTCTGTGAACACCTGGGGCCAGTGGGCAGAGGCTGAGGCTACTGCTGGGACCAGATCCCTTTCTGTTGCTTGGCTCCTGGCTGAGGCCCCCCAACTGGTCTTCCTGGGTACGGTGAAGGCTGCTCCCTCCTGAGCCTTTGCAGGGGCTTCATGGATGTGGTCACACTGCCCTCCAGTGGCCATCCCACCAAATAGCACTCATGGGCCCCAGGTGGGGTTAGGGATGATGGTCCAGTGTCCACACAGGCGGGGCTGGCCCCTGCTTAGACAGGGCTGCCCTTTGCTACCTTTGAAGACGTGGCTGTGCTCATCCCCTGCTCCTCTTACAGGCAGTCCAGCTGCCCTTCGCCACAGTGGACATTGGTAGACAGCAGGGAATCTGCCTTCTCCAGTGGTTCTCAACCTTTAGTACATGCGCCTGAATCCTGGAGAGCTGGTTCAAACCCAGATTGCTGGGCCCCACACCTAACAACAGAGAAGCTACTTTGCTAGCAAGTTCCCAGGTGCTGCTGCTGGTGGTGGTCCAATGTCCTGAGACCACATTTGCAGAACCGCTGGCTCCGTTCTCTCCTGTCCTGAGGCTTCCGGCATTCACTCACCCTGTGGGCACGGAGGACAAGAAGTGCCCACGACCAAGTACCTACCCCACTAAGTGGCTTAAGCTAACAGGAGAGACAGACTCATTTAAACAACTAATCTCATAGATAAACATAAGATTCCATTTGAAAAGGGGAGA